CCTCCCCTGCCCCCTCCCTCCCCGCCCCCTCCCGCTCTGTCTGTTTTATCTTCCCTAATGAAGCAGTCTTCTCCATCGATCCTGCTGATTGCCAACCCATTCCTTTTGTTTGTTGGCGCTGAGCCATTCAGCGGCACTCTGACAGCTCAGCTCGTCTAATTAGCTCTGTTGTTCTTTTTCCCCATGTTTCACCACGTTGCAAGTTCAGTCGAGGTTGCCACAAACTTAATCCCCCCATTTCAGCCACAAGTTCACATTCCTCACCCGCCTCTATTGTAGCAGGGAGCAGCCATGTGCAGGGACAGGCTGACAGGCCTTCATGTCTGCCCTTTCCTGAAACCCCCACCCCAGGCCCCCGGGGCAGGGCAGAGCTGCTCTGTCGCCCACAGCCCACCCGCCTTGGTGGTGAGAAGTCGGTGGGGAGCATTCCAACCAGGTGATCCTGTTTACCAGCTGCCTCTGGCTCTGATCCGGGAAACCAGTTCATGGTCAGAATGGGTGGGGGTGTCTCCACTCGTGTATCCAGCAAACGGTGACTGGATGTCTGCTCTGAGGCTGCACTGCTCTAATAACAGTGATAATAATAGCAATGTTATTAGGCACTTCTTAGATTCCCAGCAGCTGCATTTACTAGTTTCTAAAAATCTTGCTGAGTGACCACTCGAATACCAGACACTGAGCAGGATGCTAGACGAGGGTAAGGCCACCACCACTCAAACCTTCTGATTCAGAGACACACACACCCACTCATACACTCTGCTTCTGTTTGTTATTGACAAACTCCTGGAGAAGCAAGGTGAGCATTTATGGAGCCCCACTGTGTGCCAGAGCCCATGCTGGCCCTCTCAGTGGGTCTTCACGGTAGCCCCTCAGAGGAAGACAGCGAGTTTGGTGGGATGCACTTGGCCTTTTTTTTGCCACATCTCTGAGTTGCCAGAGGAGGCTGCGATCAGACTGGCCAATTCACAGGAAAAACTTAGGTTAGATCAGACATGCGGAGACCTGAGGGCTTGATCAGCCTCTATGAAGACTTGTCTTGTGTGCAGCCAGCTTCTGTCATCTGTGTTCTAAGCCAGTGTGCTGTGTGGCCTACAAATTGTGGGGGGGTGGGGTTCAGAGAAGAGGGTGAGCAGGAATGGAGCCTGTGTGCTCCCCTTCCCTGTCCTGTTCGAGAACCTCAGCCATTCCTACCTGGTCCCTCGGCTGCGGGGAGAGAGCAGGCCCCCTGCACTGGACTCCGTCATCTTATTGGCAACAAAATTCACAAGTGGACTTTCTTAGCTTAGCTCTCCGGGCTCTCTCTGGCCTTGGAAATGTTCAGAGATGACAGTGCCAAATTTAAAGCCTTGTAATGTTGATTAAACCAAATGAGTGTCCTTCTAGGGGCATCTAGAAATTCTCAGCCTAATTCCCATCACGGGCTCCTCTCGGGGAGAGGGTATCTTTCTGTGGGCCCTCGTCTTGGCTTTCAGCGGCAGCAGATCATGAAAAAAAGAAACCACCTTGCCACTGCAGCCCACTGTGGATGAGGAAGCTGTATGCTTCGCTGTCAGGCACCCTGCCCCACCCCCGGTGTAGCAGCCCCAGGGTGTGTGGCCCTGCTCGGGACTGCGCAGGATGCCCTGGGCAGTAGAAGGTGCAGCAGTCTCGAATGCTGTTATATGCTTGCTTCCTTCTCATTTAGAGAGGAAAATAAACATCTTGTAATTCAGCTGTAAAAAGAACAAAATAAGCATGTGAACCCTAAAAACAAAGTCTGAGTGAAACCTTTTCGTTCTATGAAACGGGTTTCTGGGTTCTAGAAGGAAGCGAGGCGGCCTTGTCATGATGGGGCCTCTGCTCCAGATCCTGTGTGGACAGAACCTCACTGCACCCTCATGGCAGCCCTGGGAGGAGGCAGGGGCCTGTCCCCAACCTACAGATGATGACACCACGCTCTCAGGAGCCTTTCCTGATTGAGTAGAACCCCAGCTCAAGTGTGGCGGTGTTTTCGTGATAAGCAGAGCCTTTGTAGCCTGTACCGCAAAGATCCCTCAACATTTATCTTGGAGATGCTCATCCAAAACTTCAGGATGTTCTTGTATGGCTTTTCCAACTCACTCCTTCTTGGGGGTTTCCCCCTGTGCCCCTCGTAGGTGCGTCCACCCCGTCCACACGTCGTTAAGAGACCGAAGAGCAACATCACCGTGGAAGGCCGAAGGACATCTGTCCCAAGCCCTGAGCAGTAAGTACCCCATGGCTCCCTCCCCTCTGTCTGCAGAAACCGAGCGGGGCCAGCACTTTTGGAACCCGTGCCCAGCTGGTCTTTGAAAGGCTTCCCTGGAGCCAGAGTGGGCATTTCACAAAGAGGTCAGTCAAGAGCAGGGCTTAGTCTTCAGTGCCTGCTTCTACTAGCAGTCGTCACACCAGTGGGAGGCCCCAGAGGCCAAAGAGCTGGCCACCCGGGCTGGGCTGGACTGGGTTTTGAGTGGTGATGCCCAAAAGGCACTGGGACAGGCTCCAGAGAAGGTCCCAGGCCTTTTCTGATGCTGAAGATGTAGGGTCGGGAGGAGAGAGTTAGGTCAAGTAGGTGATTTATTGAGGGCCTGCACCCCTCCTTAACCTGGGGCGCTTGAAGTCTCTGGAGCCAGGTGTATACACAGGACTACCCTACCCACTGCCCCACCCCCACTTTGCTCACCTATGCCAAAGCATATCTGTTATCTTGGCTTTGCTCTAATTCCTCCCCTCAGGCCCACAAGTCCTGGGACAGGCACTGCGGTTTATACCTAGCATAGGACACACCTTAGAGTCACTTGCTGGATAGATGTTGGATAGATGAGGTAAATGGTGAGGCAGGTGAACAAGTAGTGGCCAGAGCTGCCTGGATGGGGTGAGGCTTAAAGCTGCACACCCTCCATCTGGAGAAGGGACCACTGCTCCCATCAGAGGGGTGCACTGCTTCCCTTGGTGCCCAAGGCACAGAGCCCAGACAGCTCAGCTGCTGCACACTGGCTTCCTGTGATTCCTTGAGAAAGTTCATGAGTCCATCTCGGTCGGGTTATTTGGGAAGCAAAAAACATTGCCCCCAAGGACCCTGAAGTCCCTTGGGTGAAGAGGGGAACACTCCTCACATGTGCTCTACTCCCAGAAGAGGTCTCAGAAGTGTAGGGAGTGGGCGCCCCAGCCAGAAAAGGAGCCACAGGGAAGAAAGGATTCTCAAACGTCAGGCTGTGGCCTAACCCAGGTTGCAGTACACTTCAGCTCCTCCAGGACTCTCCGGTTTACAACGCCGTGTTGGTTGAGACTGTTGTGATATAGAACCAGCCTACCCAGGAAGCCCCCAAACCTTGCCCAGAAGCCTGTAGGGGAGAGAGAGAGAAAGAGAATGTGTGTGTGTGTGTGTGTGTGTGTGTGTGTGTGTGTGTCTTCCTGCCTGCCTGTCTTTCTGTCTACCTTGGGAGATAGTTGTTTATGCACAATTTGGCAAGAGGACTCCTGAAGTTGGGTGCAGGCTTAACTTTTGCTCTGACAATAGGACGGTGGGAATCTTGAGCACTAGGTCCCTGGCCAGGCCTGGTATGGATTATGATTGCCCCCTTGTGGAGAAAACGCTGCATGGCGTCAGTTCCTCAGACCCTGAAGATTTTTCCCTGGGGGGATGAAATCAGTCACTTTTCTTTAAAGCCACCACTTTAAATCTGGGCTAATCTTTCAGCCACTGCACTGACCACGGTACAGGGCCACAGGCCTGTCGATGTTGACATGCGAACCCAGAATTTCCCTGCACAGCACAGAACCACCCAGACCAACACCACTGCGCGTGCTGCAGATGAGCATTACCCACTCTGTGGCCAGGTTCCCAGTTAGAGGCTGGGCTTCCTAATCGCGTCTGTTTTGTGGTTGCTTTTCCAGCCTCTAGTGTGTGCCAGAGATCCAGTGTCTGGTAATCCCAGCCTCCTGGCTGTGACCAGAATTGTGTCGGTATCACTTTTTGTTTCTTTTTGCAATCTGCCTCATTTTAGATGTCCGTTCGGGAAACGTGGGGTTGAAATGAACCACTGGCAGCCAGGGGGCTGGCTTAGTGGGTTGGCAAACTGGCAGTGATAAAAAAACGGCGGGTTCTCTGTGGCTGTGCATCACCGATAGAGAGGTGCACTTTGGGACGTCATTCCAAGAGTTTCTGTTCACGTTGTTTAATGG